AGAGAGAGACTCAAATAATGACAGTACAGATAGCATGAGTTTGATACACAAAAATGATTGTAGAGGAGAGCCGCTGATACGATGAATGATTGTTTGTCTTGGCTGTAGAAATGCTTGAAATACCTGGAGGTGCGATATTTGTAGAAATGAATGCAGTAGATGTTTGGGTTTTTAAAAAAAAGTAAAGATGTATGATAATAATAATACTATTATGACAAATAGTTGTTTGAATGATTGTTTGTAGAAATACTTAAAATACCTGGAGATGCGGTAATTGTAGTTTGTAGAAATATATGATGATATCATTATGACAAATGGTTGTTTGTAGAAATGAATACGATAAATGCTTGTGTGTAGAAAAGCTTGTTTGTTTTGGTGTTTTTTTAAAGTTTTAGTAAAGGTTTTACGGCGCATAAGGTCATATGAGCGCCAGAAGATTAGAGGTATTAAAAGAGAGTAACAAACATAAAAGAAGAAGAAGGGGAGATAAGGACGATAGATGTTTGAGGAAAGAATGAGCAATCCACACCAGAGCACCCGTCAACCACTCACAGTTTTAGTGTGATTGTTATTTTACCAGTCCATCTATTCGAACAATACAACAGGAGAAAAACAGTAAGCATAGCGCAGTGCAATTCGAGGAAACGTCGACTCATCGAAGTATGTAATTGTTTGTACTATTCGATCCGAATACCGAGTGCGGCTTCTTTTAAACTTATGTGTCACGACGCAGTGGAATCAGGCGCTCGTCAATTTTTGGGCAAGTAGAATTTAATTTTTAGATCTAGTATCAACTAAAAGCTTGTTCATTTGTCTTACATTTGAAGAAAAAAATACAAATCTATCTTGAATAGAAGTGGAGATATTTGCTACTGAAGGAGGTGGTGGTTGCCTTGTGTCAGTGGTAATTTGTAAGATAATGACCGCCAAACTTTGGTGACTTCCAAAGCTCGAACGTCCTTTGTTGACGTTTTCAGGTTTTCAGTGATCAACTTTTTCCCAGTAACATTTACACATGAATGATTTTTATATTTACATAGATCTAGATTAGAAGGTATTGTGCCAACATTTTTTTTTAAATTCGAAAAATAAAATTAAAAAAAATACACGTAGACAACGGTCTGAAAGATGCCGATTTCCATGATTACATTATTTTGACGAGCGCCTGATTTCACCACGCTGCCTCACATATTATATATCATTATAAGGCAATCAGCATCCAAACGTTCACTAGTCACTTTTCACAACGTGATTCGTCCAGCACTATTCGCCCAAACCAGTGATTCTCTCTCCTTCCCTCCCTCCCTCCCTCCCCCTCTCTCTCTCTCTCTCTCACTCCCTCTCTCTCTCTCTCTCTCTCTCTGATCTCTACTAGCTCTCTCTCTCTACTACTACTACCTCCCCCAACTCTTTCTATCCCCTCCTCTCTCTCCCGGTGTGTCTTTTCTTGCCGTCTCTAGTATTTCAATATACGTGTAGTTGCTCCTGTTAGAATAAGATTGACCCAACTCTACTTTAGAGTAACTTTGAAAAAAGGGGGATTTTAGTTTTAAATTTAAAAAAATATAAACTAAATTCCCTTTTCAACTGTGAGGAGGGATTTCAAAATAACCACTAAAGGGGTTGGATAAAATTCACGTTAGTAAACTTATTATAGAAAGCTACATCTAAACATAAAAATAGACCTAATATCAAACTTCGGAACCAGCGTATCATAATTACCAAAATGACTCGCGAAGATGACTCTTCCTCTTGCTGGATTTTGAAGATAACAAAAAAAGAAAAGTGCATGTATTTTTGTTGAGCTTGCGTCATGTCGTGTCATAATTTTCTTATCGCAAAGAGGACTGATAACACAGCCGTTCAGTTTTAACTGAACTATTAATAGACCCCTTAACGTATGGTGTTAAGGAAAATATGTCAGCTTTTTAGTATTTTAGGTGCATGCTGGAAAATCTTTTTATTATTTTTTGACCAGCTTTGTGCTAACATCAACAGAAAAAAGTGCCAGAACCTTAGTTTACAGCTGTTCCCGTCGTTTTATGCAAGAAAAATTCTGAAATTATGCAAACTGAGTCCAAAAATGTGAAATTATGCGATTTTGTTACTTTTAACAAAGAATGATAAAGGAAAATAATCAGAAATTATTCAAAAAAATATCAAATTTTGCTCAATTATGCGGGGTGCATAAAACAACGGGGACAGGTCTGCAGTGAGCTTCATGAACGGGCGTTTAGCTTGTTTGTCATCCAACTTAATTAGACCCGTAAGTAAAGAAGCATTGGAGAATATCATAACAACAGGCAGGTTTGGTGGAAAGAGAGGCAGAGGCAGACAGAGGGAAACGATACTGGACAAGATGACAACATGGCTAGGAGCAGCAAGAACAACAGATACCATTGCTGCAGCAACGCAAGACAGAGTGAAGTGGAGGTCAATGATCGCCCACGCCAGTCGGCAGGGCACCGGATTCTTTTTTTAATATATATATAGTAGAGGGTTTTACGGCGCTCGCAACTGCAGAAGGTCACATGAGCGCCACGAGACACCGAATGATGATGATGTAAAGATCGGAGAAGATTAACTAAAAAGAGCGCTTTCATCTTACCTTGTTTTAACCGCGGTCAGACGAAAGTGAAAAAAAAAATATTGTAAAATATGTAAACGTTGCAAATGGAAAAACGGTACAGGTTTAACACCCCCATCAACACTGTTAGGGTTAGGTTATTTAAGAGGCGGGACCTCCGAGTTTAACGTCCATCTCGGAAAGGATCGCACCAAAAGGGGAAATTTGTGTAAAGTGTCTTTCCCAAGCTGTCCCAGCTATTTTATGCCCCCAAAAAAGAGAGGAAATTTTGCAAAGTGAGCCCAAAAATGTGAAATTATGCTTAGTAGTAGTAGTAGTAGTAGTAGTTTAGTACGGGGTTTTACGGCGCTGGCAACTGCATAAGGTCATATGAGCGCGGGGTGAAATTATGCGAATCTGTTAATTTTAACAAAGAATGATAACGGAAAATTATCAGAAATTATGCCAAAAAAAGATCAAATTTTGCAAAATTATGCGGGGTGCATAAAACCACGAGGACAACCCAAGGACACGACGTCGGACCATACAAATTGTGATATTTCTGTCCCCGTGGTTTTGTGCACCTCGCATAATTTAGCAAAATTTGATCATTTTTTGCATAAATTCTGATTCTTTTCCTTTATCATTCTTTGTTAAAATTAACAGAATCGAATAATTTCATATTTTTGGGGCTCAGTTTGCATAATTTCAGAATTTTTCTTGCATAAAACGACGGCGACAGATAATTGGTATCACTGCAAAGGCTACCGCTTGTTCCGAGTATCGGACCGTACGTTCTGACACACACAACCTCCCTAGTGCGTGCACATCACAATACAGTTTTTGGGACATAACTAATTGTTGTTCATTGCTTTAAAGAGCTGCTGCGTTTCATTTATAGCCTACACTTCTGATGACTTCTTAAAGGAGGAGTGCACTTTTCAGAAAGTTCGACAAATTTCTTTCACCTTCATAATGTGGAATAAGTTATTTTAATTTTTTCAACGATTACCAACTTATTGTTCATTTTTGTACGTTGAAATAATGTAGATAATATCAACACTTTCTTTTCTAATTTTATAAGCAAAAGTAACTACTAGGCACGACAGAATGTCATTTTCTGAATGACAGTTAATTGTGATTTTCATTTGAAGATGACATTTAGATCTAATTATAAATTTACTGTATAAGGCAGAGAAAAGAAGAAGAAAAAAAACCCCTCTCTGATTTGCTTTTCTTTTGACGCTGTTTCTGTTCTGGATTTAATTTCATTTATCACATCGAGTATTCTGTGCTCAGAAAACCAGCAAAAACCTTCAAAACAGAATGAAGCACAGTTATTAACTCTCAAATTAAAATTTAATCAAATTAATAGGGCCTACATGATGTGCTGGATGTTGGACCATAATATTTTCAGAGGAGGAAATCATTGTACGGGTGATAAGATCGGATAACTACATAATTTTACATTTTTCTTTTTTTTTTCTTTTTTTTGCGAAACGTATTCTACAAAGCATATTTCATGTGCTCGTTAAAAATTTTGCTATATTATAATATAAAGCATATCATATATAACATTCCGATAAACAACGCAAAAGTGGACTTTTTAAAACATATTTAAAATCGGATAACTCTAAGCCGTCTTTTTGTTTTGTTTTGGTAAGTATTTTACGGCGCTCACAACTGCATAAAGTTATAGACTAACATAATGTTTTTGCAGGTGGCCTACATTTAGGTACAGTATCTTTTCTCAAAGATGAGAGATTTTTATCAGTTTATTGAGATATCTTTTCTCAGTGTCAATAGTATGACTGTAAGAGATTTTTTTTCCAAGTATATTTCGGTATCTTTTCCCAATGAAGAAAGAACTCTCGGAAACATTTAAAAAAATGTGAATTTGTTCATTTCACTATTTCGCCATCTATGAACGTTTTCTGTTGCAACAAAAATAGTGGACATAAGTCTGCATCTCTTTTTTGTTTTCTTTTTAGTTTTAGTAAGTGTTTTACGGCACTTGCAACACAATAAGGTCATATAAGTGCCGAAGATTAGAGGTGTTACAAGAGAGTAACAAACACGTAAGTGTATCTCGCTCATACTCAAAGCCTAAAACATTTATAGATAGAGAATTGAGTGCGCGGAGTGTTGTGAAAGAAAAACAAACTAACTAACATACAGACAATCTAAACTAACAGCAGGGATGTGTATATCGAAGGTCGGCGAATGTGTCGGCCGTGTGTTGGTGATGGTGGTGGTGGTGATGTCACTGGTCACAGCGCCCGAGACGGTGGGAGCAAGTGAGGAACAATCTTTTTTTTCGTTTCGTTTTGGTTTTTTTCCTGTATTTTTTAAGTGTGAGTGTGAGGACAGGATTGCCTGAGTGCTTGTATGTAGACTGTTTGTGCCAGTTGTGTGTGCATGTGTGTGTACCTCTCT